AAAAAAAAAAGTATCTTGTACTAACAATAGAAGAGCAGCATTATTGCTTTCTGTAGAGGCTGATGTAGTTTGTGCCATAAAAACCTCTCCTCATCCTAACACTGCATTTTACAGAGAGAAATAACATGTTTCAGGCAGAAGCAATACAGGTTGAGCAAAATCATTGGCATTCTATAAATAGCTCTCTCTGCCCTCCCTTGCTCCTCTCCGTCTCTCCTCGTTTTCCTCGGTCTTGCCGTTTCTCTACGATATTACTCCCTCTGTATGCATCTGCAGTCACATGCTGTCAGCGACACATACAGTGACATGTGTACATCAGACGCCGTCACTCGTGTGTTTTGACTCTTAAGCTCTTTGGCTGGATGCTCTGATCCTTACGAGAGGGTGGCAACCCGGCGGGCCTGGCTGACTCTGACTGGCTGCCTGCGGTACTTATGTCATTTCATTGTACCTCCGCGACATCGGGAATGACATGCAGTGATGGGGTGTTGCGGGTTGGGGTCAAGGCTATAAAAACCCAACCAAGTGTAAAACTAGCACTGCTTGTGCATGAAGTGAAAAGCATCTTGTTGAGTAATGTCACAAAATGAGCCTCCAGCTTCAGCTCTGCGTTAAACATGAAGGGAGGAGCCAGCAGAGGAAAGAAATAAGAGGGTGCCGAGTACATCACTGTCACTCTGTTAATTTATTTCTGACAGACTCAGCTTTATTTCACCTTATAAACACTGACACTTGAAAAGCAGAGCGTTTCTGAAGCCCGTGCCTTACAAATAACCTCTCTAAATAATTAACAGGTTCATCTGCCAGTCAATCAGCACGCAGCTGAAGCTTTTGGAGATGAAACGATTCTTTTTGAAAACCCACTTTTGAAAGGAGGAGACTTGAATGCTATATACACCTCCCACTCTGCCAACACATCAAAAATAAATATAAAAAAACGACGGCTTTTCAGACCGTGCAGCAATATATCCCTTCTCCTTCTGCACAATATCTGCCGTTACTTTTTTCACAATATAATACTGTGTTATCAGAGAATCTGGATTTTTCTTTCCCGAGAAGTTTTAACAAGTCATTGGCTACATGCTTTTCAGCTTTTTTTCAAGGCACTAGGGCTGTGTGGAAAGAACCTTGCAATACAATATCAATCAGATGGGGTTTGAAAATGGAGTACATTGCAACTCTTAAATTCAACTGTAGGACAACTGTTTTGTTAAAAAGATTGCAAAGCCATATGCATGTAACGTGAACAAAAAAAATGTTCTCTGTCTTTAAATAAGAAAAAGGAGGTAGTTATACGCACATCACGCGGGTGCAGGGCAGTGCAAAAACAGAAATCTGAGGAAGAAGATAGGCCCGAGTACTTGCTCAAATGTCGCAAAAAAAAACGTTTATTATTAATCACAACGTTTCAACCCTGAGGTCTTCTTCAGGAGGTCTTCTTTGCAGCATTTGAGCAAGCATGCAGGCCTATCTTCTTCCGCCGTCTTTTAAATACCATACATGACTACATTTATAATTTTTGCTGTCCCTGTCACATCCGTAATCACGGCACTACTTTATGTGCAATCTGAGCAAAGGAATTAGCAATTGCCTATTTTAACAAAAGAAAAAAATCTTGCACCATTGCATGTAAACTTGTTATTGAAAATCAGTTCAGTGTTTTTAACAATTAAAACAGTATTAATAAATGAAATATCGCAACACTCAAAGGATATTTACATAGACCTAGTGGATGATTAGCAGTTTCTAAAGGAGAAAAAAAATAATGCTGTTTTTTATTGCATATTCCAGAGTTTATCCAGTTTTAAATCAAAGATCATAGCTGGAGATATTTGTTGAATCAGTCCTTCTAAAGTATTATCACTGAAATACTTCTATTCACTTCCAAATGGCATTGAAAAAACTGAACACAAAGCTGAGAGTCAGACCCTGCAAAACTAAAATCAAGCAGAGAGCTCTTCCATTTTAACTTCATCTACCAGCCAGTCTCCTGTCCAATAATGGGTGGATTCAGCAGCGTTGAGGAGCTCAAAGGAGACAACAGTTTTACATTCTCTTTGTCCATGTTGTTCTCCTCTAAGTACCCTTGGAAAATATGTTCTCTACTTTCGGTCACCTGCAGTTGAACACAAAACGAGGCTGAATGATTCTGCCACAGGTGAAATGAAAAATAAAGCTTGAACTCACACTCAAAGTCTGCACTATCTATTGCCTCAAAATATATGTGAACATATATTCCAAAGTTAGGGGAACATATCAACTATTTCACAGTCTGTATAACTAACGACACTAATAAAAAACAGTTTGGAAGAGCAGTAAATATGCAACATTTTTATTAACGCTAGAGCAGTCCTAGAAAAACTAACACTAAAGAGACAACTATTAAGGAAATCTGATTAGCAACTTCCACAGCCAAGCATATCTTAAACCACAGGGAGGGATGCTAATATCAGAACATCAGTGAAAGACTACTTTAAAAGCAGAAACACTACAATGTTTGTTTATCGAAAATGTTGGGATTATACTGCTCTGAGATTCCTGAGTCGGTCATAATGATGTAAATGATAATGCCAGTGCCCGTATTTCAAACAAATGTGGCACTCCAGAAGGCATCTTTGTGTGCGTGTGTATTCATGAGTATATGCGTGGGAGGAGATTGGCACTTTCAACAGATGTGTAGTATGCACTGACAGCATGACATCTACTTTGCATGTTCAATATGACACGTCTGAATGCTCCCATGCATATTGTCCTGATGGGAAGCGATAGCGAGGGATGTGCAGCATCGCTGGAACCACTCCCTGTTGTCTCTGCAGCATCGATATCAAAACATCTCCTCTGCTAACAGGCAAAGACTGCTGCACAGAGATACCTTGTCAGATGTTCCGTTGCAATTTTCATATTCTCATTTGGGCTTCTTTGATTGACTCTGAGAAGTGAACAAACAAAATGTACAGTTGTTCTCTTTTGTCGGCGCCTGAACCTGACACTGTAGCATACAAAAGACTTCCTCGAGACTAGAGTACCTTTTAAAGAACCGATGCAGTGAGCATCTGGAGGAGGATTGAATCAATTATCAATTTACTTTACTTGTGAATATTTAAGACAATGATGCGCAAACTGTAAACCCCCCTTTTCCTCTATTCAGTCATCGCTCTTTTCTCATTTATTTATTATCTGACTATCTTTATATCTTAAAAGAGAAATCGACAATCTCCTACCTGAATGAGGCTAATCAATAAAGTATGATCCCTTATTTTTCTGCTCTGCTCATTATCTGGAATCACAGGTGTGCAAAGCCTTAGAACCCATTACAAATTCAAAAACACACTCTAGCCAAAGGCCATTCCTTTACTGTATAATTGTCTCCCCCCTACCAAGTGATTCGCTATAATTAAGCCATGGAAGACAGCTCTATTCTCCTGTGAGTGTTCATATTAGCGCTACCACAGGCAGGTCTAACAAACATCTCACAGCTGATGCTTCTCAAAACAATGGACAGCCATGTTCACAGAGGTATATGCTGCTACACGTTCTCACAGGGGAGACTACAATATACACAATGCACTAGCAGGTATGAGGCCTTTGGGGAGAGCTGTCACTGGTATCTTGGCCGAGTCTGCTGTGTTTAAGCGTATGTATGTGTGTGTGTGTGTGTGTGTGTGTGTGTGTGTGTGTGTGTGTGTGTGTGTGTCTGCTTTGTCTGTAGCAGGAAAAGCTCGACTTCAGCTGACATAAGCGGGATGTTTCACTGGCCTACATAAGCTAACCAGGCAGGAGAACTTTGCATCGATCAAACAGACACATATCCTCTTTAGCTCCATTAGCAATGGGCTAATCTGACCTCCAATCCACACTCTGATTCCTGTGATCGCTTTAATCTACATGTTAGCAAAATACACAAACACAAGGGCATAATTGTGCCACTGCATGCAAAACAAAAATGCTTTTCCGCCAAATAAATGAATCATGGATAATTATGAGGTTGCCCTCAGGATGAGAACCATTTTTTTTTTGGGGGGGGGGGACAAAGCAGCCTGAGTAATCACAACAGTGCAGACACTTGTGTGTCCTCGCCAGTCAATGGGATATGGGTCGAGGACTTGTGGAGTCAAGTGGTTTCAAGCCCGCGCTTGCTCATCGTAACGAAACAATTATCAGTCATTGCACTGCTGTTTGTTTGCGCTATTAATGGCATTGTAATAAAACTGAAAACATTGCTTATTTAAGAGCAACATTTGTATATAGTATTGCAGACTTTCTGTCCCTGGGAAAGAAAACTGTCACAATGACAACTGTTGTACACTCTTGCTACAATTACTCCTCGCTTACTTTCTGGATCACACACACGTTCTCTATTCTCAGTGCAGGGGGAAGATATGCAAAAACCAGGGTCAAAGAGATGTTTGTCAACATCATGTGCAAGGCGGAGAGCAGTGGAGGCTGCATGCTAAAAAGGCCCGGCCTCTATCAAAGCCAATCAACTGGCTCTAAGAAGATGAGAGAATGTGGTCGGTGGCTCAGACACCTGGCACTGAGACTCATTCACCCTCGCTCGCTCACTTCATCCCCTACTTATCTCTCTATCTGCCCTCACACAGCTCCCAGCTTTGCATCTGGAATCATCAAAATCAATCTTCGACCCCATTTGTCTCTCTCTCCACTTTTTCATTAGCTGAAACAAATAAAGGCTCTCCTAATCCTGCGGCAAATGGGCTTTTATTGGATGTTTAAGCCACAGAGACAGGATGCTGCTGGAGCTTTTCACAGCCGCCGTTGATTTCTTTGTGCAGCAAGATCCCACTTTCTCTCGCTCTCTCTCTCTCTCTTTGGCAGGGAAAAGGGTGGTGTTGACCTGCGCAGCGCTACCTACCAGCAAATACAATCACAGCATACGGGTCACTGCATGTGCCTGCTGAATCCCCCCACCTCTGCCTCTCCACTGACTGGATAACATCACAGGACAACCCACCCTCCCTCCCTTGTACAGTGTTTTCTCATTCTCTCCACCTGTGTTATTCACACACACACACACACTCACAGACACACACACACACTCAAGTCAGAACCGGCTCAGACAGGCCTAGTAAATCAGCATGCCTGTAAGTAGGTCTCATTGACCCCTCAGGATCCATCGGTGCCTGGATCTCTCTGGATCACGCAGTCAATACATCAATATCCATCTTGTGTTTCTTGTTTTAAGACCCCCACTCCCAACCCCACCCTTCTTCTCACTGAATGTCAAACAGAGATTGGAGTCATCAATTACAAGCCTGCGTGTGTGTGTGTGTGTGTGTGTGTGTGTGTGTGTGTGTGTGTGTGTGTGCAAGGAGCTGGAGCTTATTTGCTACTGTCTATAGGAGCAGGCACATTCTTGCACAAACACAAACAAACACAGATGCACATTTTCTTGCACACACACAAACCGAAACGCCCCTCGTCTCCCATGGGATAAAGGAGAAGTGGATGGAGGGAGAGAGGTTGGCCAAACAATCCGATAAAGCAGTTCATACATACAGAAATCTATAACCTAAAGATCAGCCGGTCTGCATACACTCTGTCAGACTGCTTTCAAGTCAGATGTTCACTGCTCTGCTGGAGCCATGCACGGTATGTCAGGAAAAAAATTCAATGGCTGGCTATGCGGAGAGGCCATGCGCTAACACTGCAGCCAAATGGACAACACAACGGATAAAGCATTTGAGCAATGATTATTCTCTCTGCTAGCACCTGAAATGACTGCTGTGTGATGGAGCTGATTAGCCGGGTCAATACACATCTGGCAGGTGCTCAGACTCCTTTTTTTTTGTTTGTTTTTTTTTTGGAATAGGTCAGCGCACACACAAATAAAAGGGGGAAAAGAAAACAACTGGTGTGAGAGAGGCCAAATAATCCACTTTGTCAGGCCTCCAAATTCTGCTTGGCTAAGCGCTCCGTCTGAGGCACAGGTCAGCATCAGTGTCTCGGCCCTTTGAAATGCCTCGAAAGATACAACTCAGATGGGCCGGCACAGCGTCAAATGTGCCATTTCACATACCCTAGCTTTCTATCAATAACAGACAGATTCAGTGTGACTCTACTCAGCGGCACAATGGAATGAAAGATGTCTCTAGACCTTGAGATGTGTTGAAAAGTGGGGCATTGAATATTTGAATCTCATGCAATAAGGCTTAACAATTCAGCGTTTTTTTCTTTGTTGATACCCATTCTGATACCAAGACTCTGTATCAGTGATACCGGTTATCCCTCATAGACAAGGGAAAATTAAGAAGTACATACTGTTGTTGGGAAAACAATGATTGCTGACATTATGCTAGCAATGCATAATTGCACAGCATAGTTTTTTGTTTTTTTTTACATCATAATTAAGTCAGAGGAATTGATTTAAGGGGGGCTACTAAATTATGGTCGCATTGACTTGTGTATTAGCTGATAAATAAGGCACTTACGACACTCCTTTAAAATGAGTGAAAAAGGGGCTCTAACAAAGGTTCCTTTTTGCATTGTATCCTCACATTTAGTGAGGGGAATAGATTTCCAAACCAAGTTTCCCCCTAGCTGAGTCAACAACAAGAGCAGCCCAGTCAAGGATTAAGGACAGAGCACAGCGAATTGTATCTCACCTCTGGCAGTGGCATGCCGTTGATGATGAGGTCTGGCTGCTGGTGGCCCTGCCCAGTGAACGGGTGCTGATAGCCATGGTTGGGAGCGGCATTGCGCGAGTTCTGGTTCTCCACGTTGAGGAAGGTGCTCTCGGAGCGCCTGCAGCCCAGCGGCAGGCTCTGCTGGTGGTAGTCGAAGTAGTTGAGCGAGGAGGTGAGAGACGAGCAACTCACCACATTCATCTTGTCCGTCTCCTCGACGTCTCGTGGCACCAGGCGGATGTCATTCTTGCTCAGCTTCTTCTTCTTGCTGGACTTCTTCTGGTTGCCGTATGAGTACTCCGCCACCCTGCGCAAGTAGAAGAAACTGAACAGACTCAATAAAGCAGTGTTCTGCATTCCCCCTCCCCTGTCCACACAGTCAAAAACGCTCACCCGCCATGCCAGCTAGGCCCACTGTTCAACCATGGGTGCCAGGCGAAGGCTCATTGCACGTGTCCGGGGATGGAACAGCACACTTAAGTGACTCCACCACTCCTGGTCAGCAATGGAGCCCTCATCCCTTGTTTGTTTTGCATTTGCATGCTCAACAATCGACTTGTCACAAACAGGCAGACAAAATGCAAACATGCCAAAACCACAGAAGCAAAAAAAAAAAAAAAGCAAAAAGGACACACAGGTACTGAACAGCACTACCGGTATATGCAATCATATTCAAAGCACACAGCCCACACTAATTCCAGTTTTTCTTTCATTATCATGCTCCCCAGTAGTGAGACGGGAGTGCAGCAGAACTGCAGATTCAGATTCATTTAGCTGCTCTCAGTGGCTGCTGCAAACTTGAGCTGAGTATTTTGACTTTAATAAGAGCAAATGAGCAGCACAGCCATGTTTTATCAAAGGAAACTCCAACTGGGGGAAATATTCATTCTTCGCACAGCCTTGCAGATTTCCACCGTAGAACAGATGCTCTGTACTCTATAGTGATGACTACAAACTCCACTAGACATATTCCATATAATTTTGGATGGTTTTTTTTACCATCTGCATTGCTTCAAATTCTGGAAGAGGCTCGGTTTTAACCTTCAGGCATGGAGTAAATCATTTATTTCCCACTAAAGCCTGAAACAGAGCCATCATTATCCCTGAAATTGCAATATCTGGAATGTGTCTGTTTCTGCTTCTTGTATTGTCTTGAACGTCTCTGCTGCACCAGCCCCCACTGGCCTCTGTTCCTCGCTAAAAGGCAGCTCTAATCCTCAGTCGCTTTTCAAATCAGACTGTTAAGAAGCCCCAGTGTACTTTGTCTTTTTCATTTTTCTTTAAGATTGCATCTTGGAAACAGCTTCCTCCCCACACCTCCTGATTTAGAGGAAAGAAAATGGGAAGCTGCAAGAAAATACTTCATCTCTTTTTCATTTATCATTTTAACATGTAGTGTCTCCACTCAGTGCCCAAATTGAAAGCTTGGAGGGGAAATCTTCAGAGTCAGACCGACTGACAGAGGACAAGCAATAAATTGGAGATAACTGCTCCTCAAATTCGAGGTGGCGACTGAGGAGCAGAGCACATCAGAGCTGATTAAAGCACCCAGCAGAGAGAGAGGCTCACACAAGCAGAGAGAGCAGTTTTGAATTTGGGATTTTGCTGTTATCGATCTTCGTTTCTACTCTGAACAATCGTGTAAGACATAGTCAAAATAGGATTTGGCATGAGGAACTTGATGTGATCAAAATGTCTACATGCTGATAATCTTTTGGACTAGTTGATCAGTGTTCATATGGTGTAGGTTCTTCCTGTTAACGGTGAAAGAATGCCAAAAAGCACTGATGAAGGACATTTTCCACAATAATAGAGGGAATTATCTAACAAGAAAAAATACGGCAATTAACGTTATTGAGGTAAAAAAAAAAATCAAACAATCAGAGCAATATTTGGGGATGTTTAGAATATTTATCCAGGGCTGCATGCTTGAAAGACGGACTGAGTTTCCCTCAAATTAACAAAATTATGTTTGGAGGAAAATATGATTATAGCTGCAGGTTAAATTCTCAAATCCAATCTATATGTAAATTCATAGTGGTAATGTGGCACAGGGAAATCAAAGCCTGAGCTGATGATCTGATTGATGAACAAAACCAAGTGTTCAATAAGCAAGGTCCAGAAAATAATCACCTACTTCTTTCCAGGAATAAATAAAGTATGTGATGACTTTGTTTTGGATTGTTATGGTTTACTTTTGTATCATCTTAAAAACGTTGTTAGGGTTTTGTTTAATCTGTATTCAATTGTTTTGTATACTTCTTGGTGCATATTAAAGCAAAAGTATATGTGACTGACAGAGAGTACTGTCCATAATCACAACAGATTAGGGCTGATAACAGCCAATCAGCCACGGTGAACGTTAAATAATAAATGTCTGGGACTGCTATTGAACCAGTAGGACGTTAATTGTCCAGCAACACAGCCGCAAATTGAACATGACAGTTGAACGGTCATATTTATGAGTCAATTGGTTACAATGGGTGGATTAAATCAATCAATCACGTTGTCCTTAACGCGGAACAGCGGGGGCCTCCTCAGCAGAATGTGTCTGATTTAAAACAGACTGCTTCACTTTCAGCGGTGTGCGTGCGTGGGTGGTGGTTTGTGTGTGTGTGTGTGTGTGTGTGTGTGTGTGTGTGTGTGTGTGTAGCTGCGTGTGTGTATGTGTATGTGCGTGTGCTTGAAATGAGAAAAAAAAAATCTGCGTTCCTCAAATTCGGGCCTCTACATGCTGCACAAAAGCGATGCACTGACAATTTGCAGATCAGGCACGTTGGCGGGCACACACACACACACACACACACACACACACGCGCGCACACACCCACACACGCACAGACACCCACACCCACACACGCGCGCACGCACGCACATGCGCACACACACACACACACACACACACACAGACACACACACACACACACACACAGTCAGTACCTGCAGTTGTACGTCCGGATCTCCTTGTTATCCCTCTTGCATTTGACCGCCACAAAGATCATGGTGACGAACAGGATGGCAGCGATAGAGCCCAGCGCGATGATGAAGATGAGGGACAGGTTGACAGGTCCGATAGGCTCCTGCGCGTTCAGGTCCGGGGAGAGGTATACCACGATGTAGGCCGAGGCGGAAAGCGAGGGCTTGCCGTGATCCCGCGCCACCACCGTGATCTCATAGGTGGATTTGACGTTTTCTCCAAACATCCGGGTGGAGCGCACCTCTCCATTCACCTGGTCGATCTCGAAGAAAGCCCTGTCCCCCTCTGAGATTGTGTATGTTAGCCTGCCGTTCTCCCCCTCGTCATAGTCGTCTGCTTTTACCTGGGTCACCATGTAACCCACCCCTGCATTTCTGGGGATGGAGACCTCCGCTGTGCCATTAACCAGGGGCGGGTTTGTCATCACAGGTGTGTTGTCATTCACATCCAGGACAACAATGCGCACAGTAGCGTTGCTGGATAAAGACGGATTACCATTGTCTCTGGCCAAAACTTTAAAATCAAAAGTCCTGGTGTATTCATGGTCGAATGATCTCATTGAGTAAATTCGGCCTGATGGGTTTATGCTGACATATGTGTTTACGTCCATGTGCTTAATCTCTCCGGGGACTATGGAGTAGGAAACTGTGCCATTCATGCCCAAATCTGGGTCTTCTGCTGACACAGCCAGCAGACACGAGCCAGGGAGGTTGTTCTCCATCACCATCTCTTGATAGTGCGGTTTGAGGAAGTGGGGAGGGTTGTCATTTTCATCTGTGACTTTTACTACCAGAGATTTGGTGGCGCGTAAAGGAGGGATGCCACTGTCCTCCGCTTGGATGGTCAGGTTGTACGTGTCCTTTTGCTCCCTGTCCAGCCTACCATCAACAAGTATAGTGGAGAAGCTCTCATATTCTTGCAGTCTGAACGGCACATTGCCCTGCAGCCTACACTGCACTTTGCCGTTTGCCCCAGAATCCTTATCTGACACCCTCACCAGCGCGATGACATACCCGCGCTGCGCGTTCTCGCTAACTTCCACCATCTCCGTGTTCAGGGAGAGCAAACTGATGACAGGTGGGTTATCATTCGTGTCCATCACGTTCACTGTGACTTTGCAGTGGGCTGGGATCGAGTTAGGACCTAAATCTTTGGCCTGTACGTCAATCTCGTATATTTGTGCAGTTTCATAATCCAAAACTCCGTTTACGGTGATGATCCCTGTTCTGGGGTCAATTTTAAACGCGTCCCTCGTTTTCTCAGTGACGTAACTGTGGAAAGAGTACACCACCTCTCCATTAGTCCCTTCGTCAGGATCCGTTGCATTCAGATCTATGACTAATGTATTGATGGGGGAATTCTCCATAACGTTTACTGTATAAACCGTCTCGTCAAAAACAGGGTTGTTGTCATTAGAATCTATCACCTTGATATTTAACTGGACCGCGCCTATCTTAGGAGGGTCTCCTCCATCTTCTGCGCTGATTTCATATGAATAGTGGGACTGGGTCTCTCTGTCTAACGATTTTTGCACAACAAGCTCAGCTATTTTGGACCCATCCCCTCTGGTCTTTATCTCCAGTCCGAAAAGCTCATTTGGGGTGATGGAATATGACTGCACTCCAAAGATCCCCGAGTCCGGATCGCTTGCCCCCTCTAGGGGAAACCGGGTACCAGGGGAGGCGTTCTCAGAAATCTCAATATCAATGTGGCTCGTTGGAAATCTGGGTGCGTTATCGTTCAAATCCTCAATTTCAACTTTGATGACACAGATCTCCATAGAGTTTGACATCACTTCTAGGGAAATAATGCACTTGGGGTTCTGTCTGCAAACTACATCCCGATCTATTTTCATTTGGGTTGTAAGGATTCCGGCTGGACTCAGTTCCACCCATCGCGGCTCTGAATTGGAAATAACCCTCAAGTACGGGGGCTGCGGTGCAATCTGAAATCCTTGCTTTAGCGCGTCCTTTGTCACATTTCCAATCACGGAGCCGGGCTTCATCTCCTCGTTTATTCCGTATTTCAGGTTGATGACAGCCTCAGCCCCGACCCAAAACAAGATGAACACAGCAATTAGTTGTATTAATTCCATCTCCTTGTTTTGCATTGTACCTGTTGAGTTTTTTGTAATTAGGACCTTATTTTTACGCACAAGAATGCACGTCAGAGAAAACAAGAAAAAGGTTCCAAATGAATCATGTCATTAAAGTGTCCGAAGAATAAGTGTTTTGGGTGAAGAATTTCTCTCGTTTATGCAAATTAAATCATGGTGTGGAAGCTATAATTGTTACAAGTGCCTAGCCTATTTGACTCTTCTCAGGCGCTGCACATCCTCCGGTCTGCTGCAGCGGACGAAACAGATCTGTGAAAACATGCTGAATCTTCTCACAACAGTGATTTAGCCGTGTAAATCAGCGCAGCTCTTATCAAGCGGAAAAACATGATGAACTGTTCATATTAAAGTGCGCAAAACGGAGGACAAACGTTCGGACTGCATAGACAAAAATTGAGAATTCCTGTGAGCCAGAAAAGTCCACAAAAAAAAAAAAATCTTCCGTGCAGATGAAGTGATCAGGCTCAAAAGTCGGAGTATGATTCTTCCCCCAGCTGCAACAATTTAAGTCGCATTCTTCATTAACATCACACTGTGATTAAGTAAAAACAGTGATTTCAAAAAGAATCCTCTTCGTCCGGCAGATATGGTGCTTTCAAATTGCACATCTGATAAAAAAAAAAATAGGGGTACAAGAATCTGCAGTCATAAAATGATTCAACAGCTTAAGTCCTGATATCTTTGCTTAAAGAACAAGGGTGCAATTGCAGGAATGTCTCATCACATCACTGAAGTCCCGATTACCTTTTTCATTATTTCCAGCCGATTTTGTCTTTCATTCCTTCCGAAAGTCTTCAAGCTCTTACTTACTAATTAATTTCCTCGTATCTCACTTGGATAAGGCAGCACGTATCCCGATAATTAGTCCATGTAACACACACAATCCGATGAAATTGTAGCCAAAAGCCAGTGGCAGAAAAAGATGGGAGAGCCTGGTGTTTGTCGCCTTTAAAACGCCTTTTGGGCTGCAGCAAAGTAGGAGCACAGCCGCCTATATCCAGCCTGGTGGAGGCAGAAAAAAAAAAAGGAATCACCACTCGTTGCCAGTAGGCTGTCTATAGTTGACTCCAACAAGCGCTCCTCTCGCTTCACGGGTGCACACTGGCAAACGCGCAGCTCCGAGCCGAGCGCTCAGTCTCAGGACCCGCAATCCCCTCAGCCAATCAGGGGTTACACAGGAGGGCTGGAGCTGCTGGTGGGAGGGGCAAAGTACAGGCGAGAATACACGGCCAACTACCTGTTCTGCTACAGATGGACTACTCAACGGGCAGTGACAGAGTACATATCGTAACCGGGGATGTGTATAAGATGATTGTTTACAAAGGGTGGTTGTCCGGGGACTCATGGGGGTCTTTGAGAGGGTTCAATGGGTACTGCAGACAAAATACTGAGCAAATAACTAATTTCCTTCTGCAGAGGCAGAGGAGATTCTAAGGACATCTATCACCACATTCCCCCCTTGTTGTTTTCTTTTCTGCAGCTTTCACCCAGGTCTTCTCAAAAGGCGATCATGGAGTTCATGTGGATCTCCTAAATCCTTTAAAGTTTACTAACCTTTGCGCAAAATAAAAAGAAGCTCCCTGAACTGCCTAACAGCATTTTCAAGTATCCTCAGATGCGTTTTCCAGCGTCAAATGCAGGAGGGCCTGGTGATCTATAAGTTACAACTGTGCGTGTTATGTTACATCATTTATACCCCAACATGTGTGTGTGTGTGTGTGTGCACTACATCTGAACTGCATCTCAGCAGCAGCAGTAGTAGCAGCATCCATGTATGCAGGCGCCATGGTGAGGCAATTCCCCAATAGCCAACACACGTTATAGATCATAGGTTTTCATGTAGCAGCGTGCTAGGAGGAAATCACGCCATAGGCCATACCAATACATAAATAACCCAACTTTAATTCTCTCTCCAAGGATGTCGGGGAAAAAAAAAAAAAAACACTCAGGTTTTCTGTCAGAATATCTGCTGGTGTTACACCCCTGTACATACACTGGCCAATGAGTGTTTTCGGCAGGCTATGATTAAGGTCACAACAATATCGTTTTAATGCCTGGTCATTGTTAGTGGCTAAGAAAAACTAATTTACATTAAATACTTAAGGATACGTCATCAGTGGTCGTCAGTCTGAAGGGGAATGACTTTAATAATTACATTTTTTTTTAAAGCAAGTAGTGTCATTCTGAGAAAAATAACTAACTCCTCACTTTATTAGAATATTTGGAGTCCTTATTTCTGCAGGTTAATGCTGAAGAGGCTGCACTTTGGCCTGCAGTCTGTCGCTTATCATCATAAGAAAAAGGAACAACACGTCTGTTAAAAGCTTCAATTCAGTCAGTCTCTTCTTTATCCTGGTGTAACTCATGCTGACATCATACCGATTCACGCAGGTCACGTGTCAGTCAAAATGAAGTACGAAAACAGTGGGGGCAAAGGGGTGAATATTAATTTTCCACATATTGACTCATCACCCTCCTCCCTGAAAAGTCGCTCTTCTCATTCAGTGGGAAGTGTCAATCGGTCACAGCCGGTCTCTCTCTCTCTCACACACACACACACACACACACACACACACACACACACACACACACACACACACACACACACACACACACACACACACACACACACACCCATGCAGCAAGTCTGTCTCTACAGCACGCGCTCAGCTGCCATCACTTCCTTTGGAGGGCAGGCCGATTTTAAAGTCACAAGGGTGACACCTAGCGTCCGCTCTTTTCTCTGGTTTCAGTTTCTCTCTTTTTTTTTTTTTTTACCTCCGGACTGCTTCACCCCGATGAAAAAAGAACATTGCCGCAAGATAAACAATGAAACTCACTGGCATATTTATTTCCCTTTTATAAACTTATTGGACTGGAAGTCCACAGTTTGACCACAATTAAAGTGTTGCTCCAAGAGGTGAGTAATATCCAATCATTGCTAATCAATAAGGAGTGATTGAACTGCGTGTGGAGGGGAGAATAAGGTCATTGTTGTGACATATGGCCATGTAAATTAAGTTTTTGTAACAAATTAAACCATAAATAAACGTGCTAATGTGTGTCAGTCTATTAAAAGCTTTGAGAATCAATATTAGCAACTTCAGTTAGATTAATTTAAGCTACATGATGAATATAAACTGTGTATCTAAATCATGCAGAATATATGCTCAGGATCACTATTGTATTACAAGTTAGAAAAAAGAAAAGAAAAGACAATTGTCCTTAAAAGTGTAGAGTCACCATACTTGAACAACTGTTACTGTTGAGAAATAAATAAATGAAGGCCAAACTATCTTCTAAAGGAATCCCTATTCAATCCCTCAGATGGGACATTTTCCCAGTAAAAAATCATTTCCTCTTCTCTTTTATAATGCACTGGCATCTTGACAAACAACAAAGTATCAACAAAGCAACTTGTTTGCTCCTCCAGAACACTTTTCAAGACATGTTGCCGTCGCATAAGGGAAAGCGCCGGAAGAATCTTTAAGCTCATAAATTCTTAATGTCAGAGAGTTAAACAACCGTAGGCGGTGGCAGGGGACTGCCTTCTTCCTCAGGGCTTTCTGATGGCTGTATGTACAACACGGTGGATAGTACATGTTGTATTTCTATCAGTGTCAGATGATGTTACAGACGCTTGCATTGCCTGCTGAACAGGTGCAAGTTCTCCATGGTAATAGTGTCAATTAAAGTACGGAGCAGTATAATTTGCTCTTTTTTTGCTTCTTGATGTCTGTGAATGTTCAGGAAGGGACTTTTCTATGAGCATAATATACTGCAAATAGGGGCTTTTGCTGTGGTAACTTGTTACTTTCATGCATCATGTTATGAGACTATTATTGTCTAATATCATTTTTTAATGTGTTGACATAAACTTTGCTCATGTCAGACGGTTTAAATTGAGACTCAACCATACAAATTTTAGGGTCCAACATCCGTGAGCCGGCAAGTTTTGGTCCAATTTGGACTTTTACATTGCCTGATAAAGGATGAAAACATTGCAGGTGTTCTTATTCCTGCAGTTAAGTACAGCATTAAAAAAAGGAAACAGCAGTGCCTCGAGCTCGAACATAAACTACAGCGCAGTAATTTAGCCACGATGTATTTCTTTCTCTCTGTGAGTGGTGGCATATTTCATTTATGAGCAACTATCTACCTCAATATATTTCCTGCTGTTTGATGTTTCTTTGTGTCCTTCATTGATTTCACTCCTATGTTAAATCTTAAATATTTCCATTGAGAGCGGTGGTGGTGGTGCATTGACTGTGCAGCATCAGTGTTTGCTTTTTCGGCTGCGGTTATTTTGGTAGGTGGAGTAAAGGGGGGAGCTGATTGGGAGTGTGTGAATGTGTTTACTTGTCTGCTGATTCATTGAACTGTCAGTCAGTCAAGGTCAGGGAGTGTCTGACCGACCGTGCTTTATGTTCTGGCTTGACTTCTGTTTTTCACCATGGTACAGACTGCTATGGCTACCATCAGAGATGATAATGGCAAAAGACTGTATGAAGTGTTTGCTTCTAAAATAAGACACTTTATGAATCAAGAATTTGAAAGGAAAAATTGCAGTTAATAACAGGGTTGGTTGTACTGTTTTAAATACTCACAATAGATGATTAGAGGATGCTTGTGATAGAATAGAATAGAATCAGCTTTATTGGCCATGTATGCTTACACACACACACACACACACACACACACACACACACACACACACACGGAATTTGTCTTCAGTACCTGTGCTCTCAATGAACAAAGTTCAACATTAAACATAATATAAGCAAAAAAACAAACAAAACAAAAAAAAACACTAACAAGGCTAAATAAGACAATAGTGCAGTGGTGAGTAGTGCAAAAAATGCTGAGATGAACATGGTAATAAATATATAGTTATGTAACAGATGGTTCATATATATGAGGTAGAGTTTTTACAGTGTTTTTACATGTGTGCATAGGTTGGTGAGAGGATAGTATTTCAGTATATATATGATTGAGTGAGTCAATGAATATAAGGCAGAACATCCTTACATGATGTTCATCCACATTGTTTATCAACTTAATGTAATATTTTAACACTTGGATGGTTTGGATATATGGATTAAAATATATTCAGAGACATATACGAAGCACAACTGCTTGTGCTTCTTTTTTTATCCATTTATTTGAATAAGAAAGTCCCATTGATGTTCAATATTTGTCTGCAAAGGAGTTCTGGTCATGAAGGGCAGCAAAAAGAGAAAAATAGGTTCCATCAAAGGCAAAGAAAGGGTCATAAAACAGCACAAAAACCTACAGAACAAATACAGCCACCACACACAAAGCATACTGGGGCTGAAAAGAATCATGGCAAAAAAAAAAAAAAATGCACGTCTTAAGAGCACTACCATTGTTTCCAAACAGAAAAAGAGATTTCGAAATATGTAGGTTTAGGGCTGTGCAGAAGGTTATCTTTAAACTTCTAGTCAAAAGGCAAAGCTAGGATACTTAAGTCCATGGGAATTTCACAACCTTGCACCGGTTTTGAGCATATTCAAGGCGTTTGTGGTGTAAAGCTTGAACCAGTGCAGTTGAAAGTACACAGAGAATGACTGATTTTATTTCATATCTTTTTTTTTTCTCTACTGCCAAGGAATGGCACACGTCTGTAGTCTGTCCCTGCTGCTAGCTTGGAAAGGAATATCTAAGCTGCTCTGACAGATGCTGGCATTATCACCCCTATGTCCTGCCCGCCACTGGAAGTCCGCCCGAGCAGGGAAAACAGACTTACAGGAGCTACAACAAGACTGCAAAGACAGACAGGCAGACAGCGGCATTGATTCCGAATAAGCAAGATGGCCACGCTTATTTTGGCTGGAGCTGAGGATGACGTTATTATTATTATAGTGCTCATCCACACAGATTCTCAAAGAATTGATTCCTCCTGAGCGTCCCTTGCCAGAGGCATAAAAAGGAAGGGGAACTGACAGGCTTAATCTATGGCCGTCTCGTCAATGACGATACGCCCTCCACTCCATTCCACACTGTGCCTGTCCATGATACATCAATTAGTATCAATTCTTGCCGTCCGTTTGGGGGTTCACAGAGTCCC